TATGTTAGAAACCCAATACAGTGTAAAAAAGAGAGATTTTCGTCAAAATGCCCGTTTTTATCTTTGATTAATTTCAACGCTCGAAATTCTGACTCGAATGAGGATGCGTATTGTTTTGCAGATTGTCACCAATAATTGGGGCCAACTATGTGAGGTAGACATTCGACTCTTATAAAACAAAAGAAACGTGGCTAGATTTGTCAGTTTAGCAAACTAAATCCACGCTTCAAGAGATTTCGTTTTCGATCACAAGAATAATGATTCAATCTTTCAGCTTTGAAATTTTAAATAAACTGTGTTGAGAGCATTGAGGTCATACAACAGTTACCAGACTCCTCACCTCGAATGACTTTATTTTCTTCATTCCGATAACATAGTACAAAATAAAAAATTTTTTTTAAACAATTGATTTATACAATCTAATGTTCGAGGTTTGTAGATTGCTGATTAGGCCAGTAGACCATACACATCTACGCAGGCTTTGCCGCCATTGTCACTATCTCCAGTGTCTCGTAAATCTTCTCCGTACCAAAGGCGGAGCTCGGTATTGGCGAAGATACAGTGGGGATTCTTGGAAGCACAGAACACAAGAACAGAGGACGAGGAGGTGTAACCTGCCAGAGTGTACCATCCATACTTATACACTTTTGATCCAGCTGGGGCCAGTATCCTTTTTTGATGATCCGTTAAGACCACAGAAAGATCTGAGGTATTAGGAGTACATCCCCAGTAGCTGTAATTTTTTTTTTATTACATGACACCGATCCTGTACGGGGCACGAACATGAACGAGCTGACAAAAATGTTCTGAGGGTAGGTAAAACGACCGTACTGGTTACTTACAGCCCTGAAAAAGATCGGACTCTTGTTAAGCTTCACCCAACGAGGACAGATATTCGCTGAAGCTTCGTCGATGAACGCGGTGGCCATCAAGACAACCACAACGAACTTGAAAAGATGGTCATGTTTGATATAAAGAAAATAAAATAAAAAACAGTCAGATATGAAGAGACGATGCATTCAGATGAAGGCGAAATCAATCCCAATCAATCGCAGCGAACACAATTAAGGGCATGTTATAGGAAAAATGAGAGACCATAGGAAGGAGGTTGCAATTACCTTTACTTAATCCTACATGATGATAATTTTCATGCGGATAACTATTCCGATGTTTGGAACCTTACTGCTTTTTTTCTATGGATCTAGGCGCACTTGGTCTTGGGGCAATGTTTGTTGATTTTAATGATTGTTGAAATTAGAACGATCTCTTTCAGTTTGTAAGATTGTGATGTTTGTCATTTCTGTTGCGTATGTGGCCGAGAAACGAAAAAGCATTTTTGGCAGTTTTTTCGTATGAAAATAATCTTTTTCATGCGATTTCGGTTCGTCCTGTCTTCGCAGCCACAACATCAGGCGCACATTTCGATGTACGTTATTAACCGCCTCCTAGTTAGCTTAATGGATAGAGCGCTGGACTGTCGAGGTCAAGGGTTCGAGCCCCGGCCGGACCAACACTCAGGGTCTTAAAATAATTGAGAAGAATATGCTACCTTTCTATAACATCAAGAAATGGATAGATATTCTAGTCTTCTCGGATATTTCCGAATAAATGGAGGTCCCGTCTCCTGCAGGGTTAGGGGCAGGAGACGTTAATTTCCCACGCACGAGATTACTGTATGATGGATGTCCTCCCCTGGGGTGGGATGGGTGGTTAACAGGACCCCCGTTGATACCAGTGTTTACTACACTGAAGGGGCTATCCTGTATAAATATAGATGTCTGTCTGTCTGTCTACGTGTAGTAATACCAAAGCTTAGACCACGGTTATCATAACCGCCAATCAAAACACAGGAAAATTACCACAAGTGGCAAAAAAAAACTCCAAGAAAAAGCTGCTAAGCTGCGTAAAGCGCGGGAAAACGCGAGAGGTTAAAGCCGCAATTGCTCCAGGTCTTGCCTTGTTAGAAGTGGCGCTATGCCATCCTGGATTGCGCTGGTTGCTCAGGTGAATATTGATGCCGTATCATTTTATTTACCCAACGTAATTTGTTATAACTAATGACTGTAAAATAAGTTTAGAAATTTGTAGAATGTCTAGTTATGCTGACATACATGCCATCGAACTTTCTAGAACTTTTTATTTAGTGACGTAGTTATGATGCAATACTACCGAAAGGTTCTGGAATACTTTGTAAGTGTATATAAAGACTCGGTCGTGTAGAAGTAGTTGTTGCCGATGTCGGGAGTGACTACCTGTTAATTTAGAGAGCTTTACCGAGAGAGATTTACTGTTTGTTTATTTCGAGGAGATTTGGAGATAGCTGTAAGATTGTGTCAGCGGTGAGCCACAGTACAAATTGTAGTGGGCTTAAGTGAGTTGGGAATTTTAACATAAATGAACATAATTCGCATCATCTGATTGATCAATTCAGTTTCCAAGCGATGCTTTATTAGGGTCATGATGGAGCCTGCATTTGATCGGTGACAACTAGTTGTGTCATAAAAGCAACAGAACACCTTTTTCCAAGCTCGGTGAAGTGATAAAGCCAATTGGGATGTTGGTAGAATATTCGGAAAGCTTACAAATCATTCGCCATAGGCTCGAGATTTCTAACCCTTACTCGTGGTTACCCAACGTCTCATTTGGCTTTATCGCGTTCTAGAGCTAGGAAAAATGTGTTTTATTGCTTAATAATTACTGTATAACCTTAGGAGTCACTCCTTAGTAAGAATGATATTCGTGAGACAGTAAGACAATGAGTTGTTTGGAGGTGATTAGCAAAGAATATTTGGGGTTTGAGTAGCCAATCAGAGCACGCCTTCAACAAGATGTACTGTTTCAGTAGATACCAAGATAAGTTATTAAGGAGCGGTTCTAGGAGGTGGTGTTCCCCCCCTCCCTCGAGAGATGGCTATACAGAAAGTTTTGTATCGTTTGCTATGTGCCTAGTCATCAACTTTCGTCGTCGTTCATTTTTGAAATTTGTTTACGGCACCTGTCAACTACGTCACTCCTTAGTGGCGCACCCCCTCCTAAGAAAAATCCTGGATCCGCCCCTGTTAGCTTTTTTCAGCGTTTTGGACTGAAGGCTATGAGGGTGTTTTTGTTTCTGTGTTTTTTAGCACATTTACGCACTTACAGTTCAACATCTTGCGCTAAAATTTGTCACTTCTGAATTGATTTATTTGACATTTACCTTAAACAACATTTGATATTATACGCAATAAGGATCTCGGAAAGAACTCGACTGTACAACTGTTATATGGATAATAAATAGTGTTAGTGAGAAATTGAGAAATGGGTATCGTAAAAACTTAGCTTTTTTCAGGTTTACTTCTGGTTAGGTTTTCAAAGTGTCTAGACACCCAGTTTACTCTCTGTTCTCCCTTAAGTTTCATGTTACAATTTAACATATAAAAGGTTAATTGACCGGTAGAAAATTTTCATCTTAGTTTACCGTTTATCCAAAATTTTAGGGGAAATCTTGTCAGTGATTGTGTTTTGTTTTCGAGGTTTTTCCAGACTTAATTTATTCTTGTAATGTTCGCCTCAATTGAACATGCACTAGTTTTTTTTTTTGTTTTTGTTTTTTTCGTGTAGAATTATCGTTATTTAGTTGTGAGTAATAGTTACAAACTGATATCTGATTTTAATTATCCTTTTCGATTTCACACTATAGCCAGAATAGGTTAAACCGGCGTTTTAACTAAAGCTGTACGCGTTTCTGTTCAGAAAAAAAGTGCTTTTTTTTTTAAACCACAAATAAAAGAAAATCCTTCGATAATCATTAATTATTATGTATGAACTATCACTCCTCCCACTTGGGTGAAAAACCTTTTGAAATTCAATGGGTTTTTTTTTGTGCGACCATCTTAAGCATTTCGTACTACTTAAACCTCGAAATCCTTTTGAAGTCCAAGGTACAATTTATCGTCTTTGTTATGCACAGCCTACGTGATTAGGTCCTTTTGAAAATATGAAACTCACTTGACTAGCTTTTGTGAAAAACCGACAGTCTTTTTATTTTAAGTAAATCCTTTTTGAAGAGTGATCACAGCTGATTAGTTAATGCCGTAGAAAAATAAAGAAATATTGGCGTGTCTAGAAGACGTCGAGAGTGTACTTGGATATCAAACCCATGAAAATTGTACCTGTCTGTCATTTTTTAGTACACTTAACTCGGAACCTCCCGGAAGTCGATATGCCGCATAAGAAAAAAGTGCGCATTTGATGAAACATGTTCTTTCAATACTTTCAGCTCATATCTTGTTAAATCGATGACTATGATAATGATGATAATAACATTGATAATGGTGATAACGATGATGATGAAAAATCTCGCTAAACTAATTCTGAGAGCTGTTAAAAACTGAAGAAAAATATAACTATTGGCGCAAAATTAGCTCGTACATTAACATATTTATATCATGAAAAAAAACACTGATAGATTTAAAAATTAGTAAAGAACATTAATTCCAGGTTCAGCCCACGTCATTTGAATCCTTTTGAAAAAGTCGGTCACAAATAACTTCCTACGGTCGACATCCTACGGACTGAAAAGCACATTCAAGTACGATTGATCTTTCTGTTTGTACCAATATGCTTTTTTATAATCTTTGTTTAAGTCAATTTTCTTTTTTTTTTTCTGCACAGAAAAAAATGAGCATGTGCTCCTGTTAAGCTTCGCTCCATTATGCATCAGAGAAGTCACAAGGAAGTTAAAAAACGTTTGTTGTTTACGAGGCTTGCCGTATTACGAGCGGGTGTTCAACAAAAAGAGCCTCTTAACTAGATGAAGTAGCATCTGACAACATGTATAATTTCAGCCATTAAAACGCATTTATTGGGCACTTTGGCTAGATATTTCATTGCTTTGTAACTTTATATTTCACAAAGCTGTCGCTATTACCATCTGTATAGAGCGAGTATAAAAGAAACCATGCCACCCTCGAGCGATAAAACTTCCTTCGTCATCCTACAGAAAACCGAGACAAAATGAGGACAGGGACGCTGTCGTTGTCTTTTGCAATTCTGGTAAGTAGCCTGCATACATACGCTAAGGTCTTTATACTGGAATCCCCTTATCAAAGCTTTCGCTCTGACGAAAGGCTAACGCTCGAAACATCTACTTTAGGAACTCTTAATGGTAGCCAATTTATATTATCAAATCGGTTGCTAAAACCAAATTATATTTTCATACACCCCACCGACATAGTACCACAGTTTCTTTAGAAACGTACTTCCTTTATTCAACTATTAAATACACCAGCAGCTTGACTTTATCAAAGAACAGAAACCTAGAAGGTGAGCTAGACCAGGCGACTGAATCTAAAGCTGGAGGAGATAAGTTTGCTCGTACAGCATAAGAAACCATTTCGCAACTATTTAGTTCTGCGCAATAGCTATTCTGTACGAACAGTCATCCGAAACGCACACTTCTAGACGTCCAAAAAACTTACGCTTACTATTTCAAAGCCACCTTGGTTTCGGTAAAAGGAGATCAATTATTGTGCTATGATTTAAACCTGAGATCATGGGACCGAAATCAGAGAAAAATGCTTACGTTTAAAACAGACCACACGCCGATTTCCCGTGGAACCATTCTCTTTTGGAAGTGCTTGTCCCTACGCCAGGGTGGGGAAATTTTTGGATAAGTACCGCTAGGGGTGCGTGGCTGGGGTTGTCGCGCGTGGTATCTTGCTTTTGAAGTTATCGATCTAAATTACGAATATTTTCAGTCGGAGTTAAATCGTTTTTTTGTTTGTTTGTTTCTTTTAGGATTCGATAAATTTGTCTTGAAAGTGAGGATTAGCTCGGGGTCCCCAATAAAAATAAATGGTGCATATCTTCTATTTGTTTTTGCAGAATTCTGCGACTAGTATCCTACGAGAGTATTTCATCTCAACCCGGCTCAATTTGCCTCCCATATATACGACTGTTTCTTTTTCATTTCGTTATTTTGGTTTGTACTTTTCATCACTTGAGCATGTCCTCAATACAAGACTAGTTGTACAACTGATTCACCCGAAAAGATCACGTGACTCCTATATCTCATCACGGAAACCAAACTGAAGACACCTTTCATTAGACGCATGCATTGAGTTCAACTTCCGCTTGCATTGAGTTCAACTTCCGCTTATGCTGATTGATGTGACGTGTCGAATGTTTTGTCCATGAAATCACCCTGGTATAACCAGAAAAAAAAGTAAGTTTTTCTTTCGACTTCCGTCGGTTATTACCGATTTTTCATTCACATATTTTGATTTCCATGTATTTTGGAAAAACCTACCAGTCATCTGGTGCCAAATACTCTCCACACTTCGTCATCTTGTAGCTCTCGATACACGTCACTCTACAAAATAGGTAAAAATATAAGCTGCTTTTTTTTTTAAACAAAATAATCCCGAAGTGTCTCAATTGCAAGCATTCAGTTTCTCTGTTTCCTCTTCTTGATTTATACTTATGGTTTATGTTTACCTTTTATAAGATGAAAAGCAATTTAAAATTGAGTTTCGAAAGTATACTAATGCAAAACGGGATGCCTTAGTTCGCCCTGGGACTGATCTAGAAAATTTCTCAATCAATCGAATTCAAAGTACTGCAATGTCTTCTGCGTCGTTCGCCTTTTCCCGCGCTTCAAACTCATTACGTGTTTAACCTTTGAGTTCTCATTAGACCACGAGTAGTTCCTCCTTTCGGTAAAGTCCATCCCGCGGGTTGAAAAAAAGCGCGCGCCACGTGGAACACTGGGAGTGAGGCGTAGAGTTTCGCTTGGCCCATTATTAACCATCAATTTTTTTTTCGCTATAACATCCATTTTGAAATCACTTGTGATCCTTGCAATCTGATTGGCTCTCACGACGATATGCTCTCCACATGATTTCAGACCAAATTTCACTCCATTGAATCACCATTACTAATCGTCTTTGGCTCTCGCGACAGACTCTCCGCGCGAAGGACTGCTTATAGTTTACAAAATTCGAAATTTTCTAATCAGAATGGTTATTTATCAGCGACGAACATATTGTTTGATACGCTTACCTCGTATCCAAACCTTATTAAAAGATTTTCACTGCTAAGTAATGGGAGGTCTGGGTACCAGATTAATAATGTTTTTCAGAATGAGCGACAGATGGTAACCGTAAAGTGTAACTGTACAAAAAATGCATGGCTCATCTTGAGCTTTACCGCAGATGCCTTGAAGGCTCGACGTAACAGGGCCCTACTTTTCAGATTGCTCTCTTAGAGAACACGAATTGGGCAGAGTGGATGAAACCCAAACAGTATTCAGGCAGTGAACCAGGTGGAGATATCCAAAGTAGTCGGTTGGATTCCCCGCACAAACGCTGGCAGGTTATTGCAGACAAAGTCCTGGCAAAGAGAAAATCTTTGGGAAGACAAAGGAACGATTTAGTGTCCCGGGATTTGCATCCCTGCGTGAAGAATTCTTCACCAATCGTTATTGGAGCCAAATTGATCACGGTGGCACAATGTTATGATCACTCCATGCTTGGATGCAGTGGCAAAGCACCCGTGTACCATAAGTGTGTGCCTACTTATAAGTATGACATCGATCTGGACAGGATATTTACTACTGGCTGTAATTGCGCGTCATAACAGAAAAAAACAGACAAAAGTAGGTTTCTTTTTAAAGAGTAAGTACTTCTCAAGAATAAGGAATAGGTGACCTTGATGTAAGGCATAAAAATAAAGTGTAATAGCATTTTGCCTTGCGTATGAACTAAGTGAATCCCTAGCTCGTGTTCCTAGTCTAATTCTTCCCCTTTCCCGCGCTAGCTCTGTAAAAATGCCACATGGGTTGCGGCAGAAAGAACTCGTTTTCATAGCCACAAAATCATGCACTCAGTCGAAGATCACGCTCCCGAGTCCTTGTTCCGCTGACCCTCCGTTCTATCTGATCCACCGAAAAAAAATTAAAAAGAGGAATTTAGATTGCTGTCCTGCTCCACATTGTTTATCTGAGTGTCGCAGCAGAAAGCTCATTTAATTGCCATTCCTTTTTCCCTTTGTTTTCTGGTTTTGTAAACCAATCATGATCAAGATTTTAGAACTGTTAATCCTTAGCGCTAGCTACGGGCCGTAGCTTATGATGAAGTGAAAAAACAAAAAAAACTTGCTCCATATTTTGAATGGATTGACTTAGCTGTTGGGTGACCACTACTTGTGACCACTACAGTAATGTAGTGGTCACAAGACAACAAATTTATTCTTGTTTTTCTCGCCACCATGTTCTCACCAATAGCGACGCTCCATTTCCTGCATCTAAACACACACACACATCTGACCCACAATACCTCCATTCGCCTGGACGAAGGGCTAACGCTCGAATGTCAGCTTAGAAACTCTTTACAGAGGTCAGTTTACATTTTTAGTTTACATTATTAATTTACAATATCAACTTAGTTGATAACATCAATCATGAAAATTACAATTAACTTAATTGTGATTGGTTCATAAAACTCGTATTTTCCACTACATCACTTGTCAAGTTGTTATCAGACAGTTTAATTTCGGGCACTTTTTCGTCAGAGAGTTCGTTATCGGACAGTTCAACTAGCCAATCACATTCAAGTTGTAATTTAAATCAACCAATCACATTCATAGGTGTAGTTTAAATCAACTAATCACAACCTTGGTTTCTTTTAATGCAAATTGTCACTATTTTTATAACTTGGGTATTCTCCTTTTCTCGGAGATTGTGATTTTTACAGTCAACTGGTAATAAGAATTCATCTGATAAGACTCGTAATAAACGAATCTGACTCCCGTTGGGCAGTCGTCCGATTTTATCATTACTCATAAGATTACAGACCGAACTGAGCTTTCTGTGGACTTCCGTCCCTAGTATGAAATATTGATCAACGATAATCAAACCAATCCGTTTTATAATTTGGATATATCAACAAAGTTGAAATGGCAAATTGGCCTCCGTAACGATTACAAAAGCTGACGTTTCGAGCGTTAGCGCTTCGTCGGAGCGAATAGAGGAATTGTGGGTTTTGTGTGCTTTTAAAGGCAGAAAATGGAGCTACGTTATTAATCCGTTTTATGTATGGATTTGAGAACGAACTTTGATAAAAGAGGAACCGATCTGGGATATTACTTGCTCTCAGGTTTGTTTAGCAATTTAATATTGGTCATAATCCCTAAGGAAAATATGCAAAAGCTGTGGAAGAATCTAGCAGGATAATTTGAATGTGTTCAGCAGGTGTATCATAATCTATTTTTGTTTTGTTTGGGAAATTGTTTTTTTAGAAGGCTGAAATAGAGTAGAAAATGGGGATTTAAAAATGGTATTGTTTCACAACTTAAGGTGCTTGCAGATCTTAGAACGACACACTAACAGATTCACAGCTTATTTTCTCTCCGACTGTTGAGAATTAAATCTGACAAAGAAAATTTCACAGTCTTGGGAACATGGACTAAACATAAATAGTTCCATTAGGCCTTGTGGTGCGTGGAAATTTCGGGAAATGGTGTCTTACACATCCATGGCTTAAATCGAATCCATTTTGAAATCGGAAAATTCAGTCGTTCAAATACAGATTTTTTTAATCTGTTCGAATATATTATAAATCCTGTAATAAGCTGGTTTTTAAAAAGTTGCAAAACTTCTCTTACATTTTCCTGTAATTTGATTAGTTTTTTAAAACGAGCCTTGAAAATAGGTTGGGAAAAAGAGAAAATTTATAGCATAATAAGATGCAAATCGTGAATAATGACTATTTACATCGTCGGTGCAATAATTTTATTCCACCACGTGGCCAAGTGGGTTTTCGTGAGGCAAGGAAGAAACTGAATTCGAACGAAGTTATGGAGATTTTTCAACTCCAGTAAATTTTTTGTGTGTGTTTTCCGCTGTCAGCTGCGGACTGATCTCATTTCTATTTTCGAGGTTTTTTAAACTGCCTCATATAATCACTTATTTTCGCCCGACTTTAATTTCGCATATTTGGAATAAAAATATTTTGCGGGACTTAAAATTCGCGATCTTGACGAATCACTGTTTATCAAGGTAATTAAATTTCGTGAATCAAGTGACTGGTGCTCGTTTCTTAAACTTCCATTTCTGTATTTTATCTAACCTTAACGGAATAGAAACCTCAAACGCAAAAACAACTGGATGAGATGTTCAGCAGTGTCAACAACTTAGTAATATCTTTTAAAAGGGCTGATACGAGCAAGGTGTATTTATGTATGTATGTATGTATGTATGTATGTATGTATGTATGTGTGTATGTATGTAAATCTTTATTTAAACGCGGAAAATCATCAGTTAAACTTAGGTTAAAAACTAAGATTAATTACAACTCCTTTACATGATAGCCGTGTGGGAATCCGATATATCAGCTAACTTGCTGATATTTCTCCTAAAATGCTCAACGAATGAAGCATTTTTTAAGTTTTTGGGCAATTTATTCCCACATAATATGGCCCCTCTGTAAGAGAAACTACGTTTTAAATAACTGGTTTTTGGTTTGGACAGGGTCAGCCTTCCCTCAGAGTTTCTTACGTTGTAAGAAGAGTGACGCTGAGTAAAAAGAGTAAGATCGCGAGGAATAAGGGCATGCGTTGAACTGAAGTTTGAGCCGTCCTACTCGTATGTAAACTCCTAGCAGACGGAAAGCTTAAATAAAGGATTTTATAAAGGTCTCTAAATTTCGTGTCTTTAATTTTTGCGGCACCTTTTTTTCGCGGGACTTTAATTTCGCGTAATTTTTTAAATCGCGAAAATGGCGAGAATTAAGTCTCGCGAAAATAAATGATAGTAAGGTACGTGGGAACAAAGAAATATGGAGGAAAAAGATGCCACATGAGCACGACGAAAGGTTTTGCGAATTAGCATTGACAAGAGCCATGACAAAGTTAGGTGAGTGAATGCGCTTCTACATCGAAACAGGCAAACAAGAAATATTGGAACTGAGCAAGTTTATGCGTTTCTCAGCTGCAACCAACGCTCTGAATCTCCTCGTTTGAAAGTGAAGTTTTGTTGTTGAGTCAAATTTTCGTTGAAGTGCTTTAGCCGGGCTATTTCGCGCGGAATATTGCATTGGAAGTTGTCATCCATCCTACCGATTGAGACAAAGCCTTTTTTAAAAGCTTGGTGGCAAGATCTTGAATAGAAATAGAATAGAAATTACATCTTCGTAGATGGCCTTACACATTCTTGTTATTTTGTAATTTTTTCGTTTACTCAGACAGAAGGACAAAAAGATGTCTTTTTATTTTGTAACGCCTGTTTGTGAAACAAGACTCGTTATCAGTCCTGTGATTATGGCCTCATTTCGGCCAACAGTTTCATGGACTCCATTTCAACTCAGGAAGGAACTCTTTTATCTACTTTTCTACTCGTGATTTTATTTACAGTTTCATAATAGAGCTACGAGAGGAGAACAGAATCTTTGATGGCTGAATTAAATTATCTTGTGTTTTGGATTATAACCGTGACGTTAATTGGCTGATTTGTATTATTTTGTGTTTTGGACTCTGTTGACAGGGCAGTCTATACAACGATTATTTAACCAGATGTAGCTAAACTGGAAAACATATATGAGTTTTACAAGAAAAAAGCTAAAAAACATTGTTGGTACACCATCAATCGGCTATTCCCAAGAAAGCCAAGACCAACTTCATTAGCAACGAGCGGAAACGTATTCATAACCGATGCTCCACACAAACTACAAACGGAAAACTGATCAAGGTGCGTTTGACGAAGTCCTGCGCCTAAACGGATACTCAGAGAACGACAAACACCACACATGTATTTTTATGGGCTGATGAATTGATCGTGTTTAAATAAAGATTACATTGCATTACATCACGAAACAACCCCAAAACCGTCGCGAAGACTCTCTCCCTTCCAACACAGAAAAGAAAAAATGGTCATACCTGAAGATCCCCTACGTCTCTGAACAGCTAGACCACAAGATCACTAACATCTTCCGTAAAGAGGGAAATTTCAGCTACACTACTCAACAGACACTAATATAGTGAACCATTAGGTTTATTTTGCATGTTTCGGCCGAGCACTAGCGTACAATAATGAAGAAACACATATAGAAAACCGTTGCATTCTCGGTAATCGTTACCAAAGCACGCGACAAAAAGACATTTCGAGAGCTTAGCAACCACTAGCAAACATCGAGGTTAGAACGGCGGCCAGAAAAAAACCTGCCATAAAAACCCCGTAGGGAAAAAGAGACAAGAAATCTGGGTAGGAACCAGGCCCAAGCACACGTAACCTTCCTACTAGGCTATATGTATACTTACAAAAAAATAAATAAATAAATAAACTTAGCAATAGCTGAGAAGGTGTCGGCCAAGAATGATTGCCCACGTGCAATCACAAGCTTTAATACTCGTATCACCATACCTATAATGCATCTATACTCAAGGGCCCAGGCCCTTGTCCTGCTGCTCTCGTGCCGCAGAAATATTTAATTTCCGGCTTATTCGTTGGCACTCAAACGCCAGAAATTCCATTACCTGTGAGCATCGCACACAAGTCATACACCCTCAGAAAAGCCCTCTCTCACAAAATCACGGAGCGTACATGCACAAGAGACAATTGCCCCATCGCACATACCAACCTTTGTTTATTGAGAAAGGCTGTTTACCAAATTACATGCAAAAACTGTAACCAAGACTACATCGGGAGCACCACTCACTTCATCCACGACCGTGTGAAAGAACATCTCAGAAGCG